AATTTTTATTCGCGCAAATGCAAAAAAATGTGTACAAAAAAAAAAAATTTATACGCGCGCTATATATACGGAGAGCGTTGATATACGCGCAAATATAGATCTATGTACGCTGCGCCTACTGCGCGCGCGAACCCAATTTACATTCCCAAGATTCTTAACGATCAACTTTATATAATCAGTTTTTGAAGTTAATGTTATATACCCCTGAGTTTTCGGAAGCCATCATAATCAATTAGATCAGAAATTTATTAAAATTTCAGCATACAAATTTGCACGCTAAACCTGACGGTTTAAGGGATAGTTCATTGAAAAATACACGAAATCGTAATATTTTTTTTTTAAAAAGGTAAAAAAAAAAAAAAAAAAACCACAATCAAATAATAATAATATTTCTGTAATAAACAAAAAACTGAATTTATTATTATTCGAAAGTAACCATCGAACTATTTATTACGTAATCCCACTTGACCGTCTAAATTATTTATTTATCTAATTAATATCGATATACAATAACAATAATCTGATAAATTTAGCGCGCACCATTTTTTTTGTGCTCTAAATTTATTTATTCAAATTAAAAATAAATCTTGTTAAATAGCTGATAGCGCACATTCGTTAATGTTCATATCAGATATAGCACACATAAAAATAAAGCTTGAATTTTATACGTACACCTAAATCAAACCAATTTTTAAGAATAAAATTGTTACGATCAATTTTCTCAGCCAATCAGGTTATCCGGTAAACTCGAGAACGGCCTTTTAAAAAATTTCAGTTAACGAGCTTAATTATAATCTCTACTATCTGTTATATAACTACCGTATTTTTATACAGTATCTGGTATAAAAAATTCATATCGATATTTTTTATTTTCAAGAATTATTATACCGGTATATATTATTATTGAAAATGAAAAAGACTCTATCAAATAAGCTTTTTAGAGTCAATATTATATCTTGAAATTTTAATAAGATTATCGTTATGTGGTGTTATTTAATGTGAATGAGACAGGTTTTTACTTTTAAAGAAAATCTATTGAAAATTAAGCCACAATCTGAGCCCCAAATATAAACATGGATTGATATTTTTAGCCGCAAAAAGATTGATAACGTAAAATCGGAGATTTATGAATCATCGAACGTGTTTATGAATCATAGAAATTTGTTCTTAAAAATACTTAGCATTTTAACTTACTGTATACTATATTTTAATTAATTTTAATAATTATATATAGTTCTATCAAAGTATTCATGACTCAAAACCATTAATTAAATTATTATTATTATCGTAAATATGTCAAATTTTTCTGAACAACCAGAGCCTTCCATTACAAAAATATCAATTCTTCATGAAGAATCCATTATCTTAGGATTTCATTTAACGGAATATATGATACGAGATATAATACTTAATATTCCTGTGTCAACATATGTTTTAATTACAGATTCAACTCTCGCATCTCTTTATCTTGAAAATTTATCGAATCAATTTAAAAAAATTGCTTCAAAATTAACTCTTTCTAAAGGAAACAATTCGGTACCACCACGATTTATTTCTTATGTGATACCTCCGGGTGAACAATCAAAGACTCGTGAGACTAAATCTGAAATTGAGGACTTTCTTCTAAGTCAGACATGCACCCGTGATACTTGTATTATAGCGTTTGGTGGTGGTGTTATTGGAGATTTGTGCGGATTCGTTGCCGCTACTTTTATGCGTGGTGTACCATTTGTTCAAGTTCCAACAACTCTTCTTGCAATGGTAGATGCATCGATCGGTGGTAAAACGGCGGTAGACACCCCTCATGGAAAAAATCTAATTGGTGCGTTTTGGCAACCTAAAAGAATATTCATTGATATAATTTATTTGGAAACATTATCTGAACGACAATTTACCAACGGTATGGCTGAAGTAATAAAAACTGCGGCAATTTGGAAAGAAAGTGATTTTGTGAATCTTGAAAATGGCGTTGCAAGTATTCGTGATGCTGTATTGAATCCTAAGAGAGATGTTCCTTTTCAAGGTGAGAAACCTCTTTAAAGTTTATTTAATATATATATATATATATTTCATACTCTAAACATATCTAACATAGCTGGATGATATTTATTATAGGTGCAACATTAGAAACGCGCACACCATCTCAATCTCTTCTTCTTTCTGTTATTCATAGTGCTGCTGAATTCAAAGCTTATGTTGTGACAAATGATGAAAGGGAAAGTGGTCTTCGTGGGTTACTCAATTTTGGTCATTCAATCGGCCATGCTATAGAAGCTATTATGTACGAAGTATTACTTCATGGTGAATGTATTTCTATTGGTATGGTTAAAGAAGCTGAACTTGCAAGAAGCCTTGGACATTTAAACCAAGTAGCTGTTGGTCGATTAATTAGATGTTTGGAAAGTTATGGTTTACCCATTTCTTTAGATGATAAAAAAGTTCGAGAAATGGTGGGTGATAGATATTGTTCCGTGGATAAATTAATGGATATTATGAAAATTGATAAAAAAAATATAGGTGATAAAAAGAGAATTGTGATACTCTCTGGAATTGGAAAGACATTAGAACAAAAAGCTACTTTTGTTTCCGATTCTTGCATCAGAAAGGTTCTTTCACCTGCAGTTTTGGTTAATCCAGTCACGTCATCTTCTAATCTTTCTAAACACATAACAATGACAACTCCAGGATCAAAATCCATTTCAAATCGTGTTTTAGTACTTTCAGCACTCGCTACTGGTACTTGTAAACTTAAAGGATTATTACATTCGGATGATACTCAAGTTATGTTGGCTGCTTTGCAAAATCTTGGTGGTGCAAAATTTGAATGGGAAGATAATGGTGAAACATTGGTCGTTACTGGTGGTGGTGGCAATCTTAAGGTTCCTGATAAAGATATTTATCTTGGAAATGCTGGAACTGCTGCCAGATTTACTACTACGATTTGCACATTAGTATCCGCAGAGACTAAGACTGTAACAAAAACTCATACTATAGTAACTGGAAATGCTCGAATGAAGCAACGACCGATAGGTCCTTTAGTGGATGCGCTTCGAGAAAATGGTTCTCAAATTCGTTACCTTGAAAATGAGGGTTGTCTTCCACTCGAAATAGCACCATTAGGGTTACATGGTGGTGTTATTAACCTTTCCGCATCCATATCATCACAATACGTTTCATCTATCCTTTTAAGCGCACCATATGCTAATGAACCAGTAACTTTGAGTCTAACTGGAGGTCAGGTAATATCTCAACCTTATATTGATATGACGATATCAATGATGAATTCTTTTGGTATTAAAGTTGAGCGCCTTGATGGTGACGTATACCGAATTCCAAAAGGTTGTTACAAAAATCCCAGTGAATACATTGTGGAAGCAGATGCTAGCTCTGCCACGTATCCATTGGCAATAGCTGCTATAACTGGTATAAAATGTACCCTTCCAAACATAGGTTCAGCTTCCCTTCAAGGTGATGCAGCGTTTGCTGTTAAGGTTCTCAAACCTATGGGATGTGAGGTCACTCAAACTGCTACAAGCACTATAGTGCAAGGACCTCCAATCGGATCATTGCGCCCACTACCACAAATTGATATGGTAACTATGACAGATGCATTTTTGACTGCATCAGTTCTTGCTGCCGTTGCTTCTAATAAAGGTAATGGAGAATGTATTACTCGCATTACAGGTGTAGCAAATCAAAGAGTTAAAGAATGTAATAGAATTGCTGCGATGGTCAATGAGTTGAGTAAATTTGGTGTTACAGCATCTGAACTTCCTGATGGGATTCAGATAAATGGCGCCAAAATTCAATCTCTTAAAGGTCCAGAGAAAGGTGTTAAATGTTATGATGACCACCGGATAGCAATGAGTTTTAGTGTACTTGGATGTGTTGTTCCAAATGGTACGATTATACTTGAGAAAAAATGTGTGGAAAAAACGTGGCCAGATTGGTGGGATGACTTAGAGTCCAAATTAGGTGTAAAACTTGATGGTTTAGATATAAAACAACAACACGATTCATTAGTAAAAGACAAAACCGAAGTTTCACGAGACAGATCGTTAATATTTATTGGAATGCGTGGTGTAGGCAAATCGACTCTTGGAAAAATCGCTGCTAACCTATTGAGCTTTCAATTTATCGATGTCGATGAATATTTTGAAACCACATTATCCACAACAATATCCAAGTTCATAGAAAAGCAAGGATGGGCGGCATTTCGTGAAAAAGAATTTGAAATTTTTGCATCAATACTTCAAAAATATCCTTCAGGCTACATAATTGCTTGCGGTGGCGGCATAGTTGAAACCCCATCTTCCCGTGATCTTTTAAAAGCATATATACGCGAAAATGGAATCGTTGTACATATAGTAAGGGATATTAAGGAGATAGAGGAATATTTGAATAGAGATAGTACTCGTCCAGCATATGGAGAATCAATTCTTGATGTATGGAAGCGACGGGAGGAATGGTATAAAGAGTGTTCCAATTATGAATTTTTTTCAATAACCGCAGATAATTACGCTACCGATTATGATCCGTCATGTTGGTATACAGAAGAAACAAATTTTATCCGATTTTTGAAATTTATTATTGGGTACGAAACCAACCAAGTTGATAACAACCAGAAAGATAAGACCTTTTTCGTTTCGTTGACATATTCAGACCTGAGTTCAGCATCACAACACATACCTACCATAACTCATGGTGTGGACGCTATTGAACTTCGAGTAGATTTGCTTTCTAATAATCTTCACTCGGGATCATTTGTAGATTATGTCTCTAAACAATTGGCATTTTTGAGACGATTATCAACACTTCCAATCATATTCACCGTTCGATCGCAAGGACAGGGTGGTAAATTTCCTGATACTCAAGAAAAAGAGATGTTCTTCCTTTTATTACAAGCATTAAAATGGGGTTGTGAATATGTTGACGTAGAGATTTGTTGGTCTCAGGATTTAATCTCAAATTTGATCAAAAATAAGAAAAATACTAAACTAATTGGTTCTTGGCATGATGTGACAGGCACTGCAAAATGGGATGGTGAGGAAATTCGGCAACGTTATAGGACCGCAAAAGAATATTGCGATATTATAAAAATAGTTTGTCGCGCAGAATCTATTATAGATAATTTTAAATTACAAGGATTTATATTGTCATTAAAAACAGATACAAAGCCAATAATTACGATCAACATGGGTATAGAAGGACAATTATCTCGTATATTAAATGAATTCCTTACTCCTGTAACCCATCCTTTATTGCCTTCGAAGGCTGCTCCGGGTCAACTATCAATTTCCGAAATTCACCAAGCTTTACATTTGATTGGCCAATTGCCAAAAAAGAATTATTATCTTTTTGGAACACCAATTTCTCATTCTATGTCACCAACTATCCATAATACTGGATTTAAAACTCTTGGCTTGCCACATTATTATGATTTGTTTGAAAGTGAAAATGTTGAAGATGTCAAGCCTATTTTAGAAGATTCACAATTTGGAGGTGCTTCAGTTACGATACCTCATAAACTTAATATAATGAAATATCTTGATCGTCTTTCTGAACATGCTACGATAATTGGCGCAGTAAATACTATTATTGTAGAAACTGATTCAAATGGTAATCGTAAATTAGTTGGTGATAATACAGATTGGTTAGGAATGTTTCATTTAATAAAACCATTAGTAAAAATTGATTCCACAACTTCAGGATTGATTATTGGTGCAGGTGGAACATCAAGAGCGGCATTATATGCACTTCATCAACTTGGTGTATCTACGATTTACATGTACAATCGTACACAATCAAAGATTTCTGATTTGGTTTCTCAATTTCCAACATATGGAATTATTCCTATTACCTCTCTTTCGCAAACATTAACACAATCACCTCAAATAATTATATCATCAATTCCTGCAACATCAAATATGGAATTTCCCGATGAAATATTTCAATTTGGCAAAGGGGTAATTGTTGAAATGGCATATAAACCAAGAAGAACAAATTTACTAAAAAAGGGTGAAGAGAAAGGTTGGATTGGAATTGAAGGAATTCAAATATTAATTGAACAAGGAATTCATCAATTTGAAAAATGGACTAAAAGAAAAGCACCTAGGAATTTTATTAAAGATAATACTTTAGAAAAATATAATTCAGCATAATTATATTTCAACTTATAGATTTCACTAATTTGTTTTATTTATTTATTTTCAATAAATCTTATTAAATACCAATTCAAGTTTATAAGTAAATCTTTTAATTCGATTTTGCGCTAATCAGTATGATATGGACTACCAGATCTGTATACAGGCCCGATTTTTTTTTCTAAACAATATTAATTCTAACCTTCTAACTCTAA